TTTCCCTCTCTGCTAGAGCTACAGAGCCACTGCTTGGCAGCGATATAGGGACCTCTTGCGTGCTAAGTGGCCTGTTAGATGATCCTAGCATTTTAAAAATCTCTTCTCTGGATATATCCTGTTTATTCAGAACTGGGAAAAACAGAGGTAAAATCACAGCAGAAACCTCATTCACCGAATTGTAAGAGACATGGGATACATCAGCATGGTAGAAAGGAGAAGAAACAGACTAGCATTTTGGAAAAAGACACAAAACTTCCATGAAAGAATTATCAAAAGTCTGGTTCCATCGACACTTCACAAGCAAACCTGATAAAAATTAAGAAAAAAGTCTGTGTTTACAAATGCTGCCAATTAAATCCTTTGCTGGCTTTTGAGCATTAATAATTCACTTCCAACAATGTGCTACCCTCCCCTTTTCACATGCAAAGCCTTGCAGAACAACACTGTTGCAACAAGCTGTATTGGTGAATCCTTTTGAAATATGAGAAACTTTTGATTAATCAGTTTTTAAGGTCTGATCCTGCACAGCCTGCTCACTACTATGATAACCCCCATGTTCAGCTGGATAACAAGAAAGGGTCCTGCATCTTTTAATGAAAGAAGAACAAAAGTAAAGGCGGGTATTGTTAACTCGGTGTCAGTGTAACACTACACTGCCAGGTGAGTCACTGGCAGCGAGTACTGCACCTGGGACTTATGTTTTTAGGAACTTGTGGCCTTCCTGCGGGACTGTGGAACAATGGTCGGGAGGGCCAAATCCAGCCACTGGCTTGCCTGGATCTGGACCTCGGGGCTCCCCCCAGCATTGGGAAGCCTGCGCTGGTGCTCCAGACCCACAGCCTCCCCACGCTGGCTCCCTGATGTTGGGGCGGGGGGGGATGCCCTGAGTCTTGTGGGCTGGAGTCAGGCAAGACAGAATTGGATCCAACCCATGGGCTCTGCCTGGTGTGGGGAGGAAGTGGCTCTGTGCACTGTGCTCCACCTTCTCCTCCTGGCTGGGGAAATAGCGGCTCAGCAAAGCACTGCCTGGAGGCCTTTCCACCACCAGTCCAATTGGCTGTAATCACGGCCAATAGGAGCAGCAGAGACTGGTGCCTGGAGCGGCGGGGGACACGGATCCATGTGCGTCCCTGAGAAGCATGCCAGGTAAGTGCTCCCCTCCCCATGCCCCAGACTCTGCACCCTCAGCCTGCTCCTGCCCCCTCTCCCCAGTCTCAGCCCACTCCTGCCCCCTACCACCTTCCCAAATCCTCAGCCGACTCCTGCATCCTACCTCCCACCCAGACCCCACACCCCAAGCCCACTTCCCAGCAACCCCCTCCACATACTGAACCCCCTTGGTTTTGGCCCCATCCCAGAGCCTAGGGAGGCCCACAAAACCTACTAGCCCAGGCCCTCTTAGGCTCTAGTGTGTGAGGGGAACGTGGGGAGTGTTTTTCTGCTTCTCAGTCGAAGGCCCCGTCTGGGAGGTGGATTTAGGTGGTCAGTCCCAACTGATTTTTCTGTGAGTCAGCAGCCCCCGACCCAAAAAAGGTTCCCAAGTCCTGCCTACTGATTGTGCTAAAGGACCCCACTTTGTATGTAAAGTCATCATCAACTTCTCTCTGTGGCATACCCGCCACCAGAAGGGAAGAGAGTGCCACAGTGAGCAGGTTGATCAGGAGCGGTTTTAACCGTTTTTCCAGCTACGCTGTTGCTGTATTTAAAATCAATAATGCTTCACAAAAATCTGTATCTACTTATACTATAGCAGCTGAATAGATACTGAATACTTACTGATGCCAAGTGACAGAATCAATTACTTTCCCTCCTGATTTCAAGAAGCTGTCAATAAACAAAAGGTATCATTTCATTATTATTCATGACACTGACTGAGCACACAACAGAGCTGCAGAAACTTGGAGACACAGTACTGAAATCAGAGTGCTGATAATGAGCACAAATACCACACCAGCAGAGTCAACTACACCAAGCCCTGGCCTGGAAACCAGAAATGTTTAGATTCTAATCCTGGCTCTAAGAATGACTCACTGAGTGATCTTGAGCAAGTCACTCAATCTTGCTGGGCCTCAGTCTACCTCACCTATAAAATGG